CCATGAAAATGATGGCTTCCTGTTTTCAGCTCCAATGTTTTCAACCCTGCACTGCCCTTTTCTTACTTTTTAAATCTATTGGTAGGGAAAATGGTTTCATGAAGTTGTTTTTAAGCTTTTATGAGCCTGATAAAATCTATAGACACACTCTTCAGAAAAGCCCTTATACACATACACAGAAGCATTGCTTATAATTTCAGGAGGTTATTGGGCACCTCCCCCACCAGCCCACCCCCTGACCCTTAGGAGTATCAGTAGAAAAACTGTGCCTTAAAGCAAAGTCTTGGGTTCACTTGGATGTAACAAAAATTCCCTTCTTATACTTAACCTTTCTGTTAACTCATTTGTAAAATAGGAATAATAGTAACAGTTCTTACCTCAAAGATTGTGAAGATTAACTGATGTAATACAGGGAAGAGCCTAATTTGAAAACCAGAAATGCTAAATATTATCTTTTTCTCTCTCTTTGTAGTCCAGTTACAGCAATCCTCATTCTTGAGGCAATTGGATGCTTCTCCGTGCTAGGGGAATGATCAGGATGCATAAGAAAGAAGAGCCCAAAGAGTAATATTTCAAGGCCTTACTCTGTGCCTGTTGCATTCTTTTGCTAAAACCTGGCCACAGACTGCCATATCATGGTTCTCCCTATGAGCCACTGAGCAATGGGGTCTAGCAAGCCTAGGCCTGGCTCTGTGACCTGAGAGTTCTCAGTTCATTTGCCCTGAAATGCTCCACTTTGCAAATGTCCAATTCCTTGTCATATCCCCATGTTAATGCTCCTGGCAGAAAGGAAGAAATGTAAAGTTCTAATAGGAGTTCATTTCCAGACTAGAAGACACTGAGTCTTGAGAAATAGTGATTAAGGGTTAAGCCTGATTCTCATTGTTTCTACAAAAATAAATAAGTACATTGATAGGCCAATAAGCAGACATTTATTTAGCACCTACTGTGTACATTGCACAATAGATAACACAAAGAGGAGTAATACATGCTCCTATGCTGTGCTGACTCAGTCCAGCAGGGAAGATAGATACACACAATAATAAACCAACACAAAGTGAGCCATAGCTCACAAGGGCAATGATTGTGATTCAGACAGTGTTTCAGGAGTACAGGAGAGGGAGAAATCAATTTTGATGGAGATCCGTAAAAGTCTCTTGAGCAAGGTGGGATTTAAGCTGGACCCTAAAGGAGGAGTGAGACTGCTATGGGTGAATATGATGGCGAAGGACATTCTAGGCTGTGGGAGTAGTTTGAAGAAAAGCATGGAGTTAGAAAAGTGCTTGGGGGCCGGCCCCGTGGCTTAGCGGTTGGGTGCGCGCGCTCCACTGCTGGCGGCCCGGGTTCAGATCTTGGGCGCGCACTGACGCACCGCTTCTCTGGCCATGCTGAGGCTGCGTCCCACATACAGCAACTAGAAGGATGTGCAGCTATGACATACAACTATCTACTTGGGCTTTGGGGGAAAAAAGTAAATAAAAAAACAAAACAAAACAAATACACCTGGCAGATATGTGGAATGATATTTGTTGGGGGGCCGGCCTGGT